CAGAAACTTAGGACATAGGCCTCAAACTGCACCAGGCGAGGTTCAGGTTGGACATCAGGAGGAATTCTTCACAGAAATGGTTACTAAGCGCTGGAATAGACTTCCCAGGGTGTTGGAGTCACCATTCCTGGAGGTGTTAAAAAAAACCTGGAAACGGCACTTAGTACCATGGTCTAGTTGACAATGAGGTGTTCTGTCTAAGGTTGGATTCAATAATCTTGGACACCTTTTCCAGCACAAATGAGTTTGTGAGGCTGTGATTTTGTGATTCAGAGGACATTTCAGGATGCTGTTATCGAGTTCTGGTTGTACCAGCATGTAGCAGTCCCTTACTCCAGGAAACACCCGAAGTATCTGTAGATATACTTTCATTTACAAACTGTTTTTATTACTGAAAGTATATTTCTACACACCTATGCGGGTGCTACTTATTCAGCTTGAATATCTTCCTTAAGGAAAAGTAGTAAGAAAATCAAGTACCAAGCCACGAGGAAAACTTCACACTTTGTAGTTTGCCATAAAACATTCCTTATCTTTATATAACCTTCTTTTAGGAATTAAAATTTTAACTCCCTTTTCTAATTTGGTGTTCATTCACATTATTTATGTTATTTCTGTTCTTTTTTTCTTATCTTCTAACGTCTATTGAAGAATATTTACAGAGAAGTGCTGACTCAAAATGGGAATTTTATACCTGCTGTTATGACTCAGTCTTGGTTATATATGTGTCATTATGTTCGTCCAACTTTTAAAGCTCTGGTATTTTCTTGAAGTGTTTCTTACTGACAGTGTGAAGCAATGATGTTCAGTAATGGATGGGTCATTTGAACAGGCTGATATTGAGATTTTTATATACAAATCTATCTACCTTACATTTTAGTTCTCTATTAGTTCTCTGATATTAGTTCTCTATTTTATAGTATAATTCTACATTTAACTTCTGTGAATTTGATTTTCACATTTCAGAAAGTATTTTTCATAACAAAGGGGTTGCACTGAGGCCACTTCAGTTACTGCAATTTACACTGGATTTGACAGATTTCTGTAAAGTAGCAAGAGCTAATTGAAACACTGCTATTTCTCAAGGCATTTTTGGTTGGCTAGTTTAACCTGAGAATGTCCTCTGAAGAAGCACCCCATTTTCCAGCTGGCTAAAAAAACAAAGTGCTCATAAAGGCGACCTCCTGCTCACACTTGGTTACAGGAAAATGGCCAAAAAATTTCTGGAATACTTTTCCCCAGAGAGGTTTTTCTCAAACTGTCTGCCTGATGTATGTGACATGTCACTTATCATTGTTAAGAAAGAGAGGGTTAGTGATGTGCAGCATCCCACATGAATGCTTAAAGCCACTTTGCGCATTGGGGTTACACTCTTCCGACAAAATGTCAATGTCTTGTCGTGCATATTCAGTGTCACTGACTTAGTTGTATTTGCTTTTGGAAATGTTGCACTTGTTTGAATCCCAGAAGCTAAGAAATAGCATATCTGTCACATGAAACAGAAAAGACAGAAACAACTTTTAAAAACCTGCAGCCACTGAGCAGAACCGCCTCCAAAGGAAGAATGTGTAAGATTTGCTGCGTCATGAACTTGGATGACTAGCAAATTACTGAATCCTATTGTTGACATAAAAGTGGTGTCACTATGTATGAGTATGCAACCTGACATCTTCCCGCTCAAGCTCAACTTTCCTACTCAACTTTTCTGTTGCAGACCTTTGTCAGGGCCTTGAAGGATCTATGGTCCTGCTCACTGGGCAGACCTAAGATACACAAGACTTAGCAGGTAGTTGGCCCAGTTGTGTGCCTGACAGAATTTAATCCAAGTATTTTAAGTTCTTATAGAGTCAGCTAGAGTCAAAGAGGAATGCTGTCTCAGGTGTGAGATATCATTTGCTCTCAGTGAGCTGTGCAAGGCATCAAGTACATCCACAGATGACAGGCAAGGTTTTATGCAATCCAGTAGGAATAACTGAAGTGGGTAGTACTCATCTCGCTTGGGAAGCTGTAAAGGCTGTGTAAACCCAGGGCTATCAAACTCCACTAGAGTCTGATAGAGTCCACTGCTCATCCAAATACACTGCTGTAAGTATAAAACCAATCAATTCTACTTCACACTTCACCCACCCTTCTTTAAAGAACAATCATAAATGTCTCTTATGTGACCTTAAACTTCAGTACAGTTAAACTCAGCATACTTCACACTAAACATTCAAATCTTCATTCTTGTGTTTTGACAAGCAGGAAACTATAAGACTGTAAGACAACACAACAACATAGATTTTTACGTTTCTTACAGTGTTTTAATCTGTAGGTCAAAAAGTTAAACCATGTAGAAAAAATCTGCATGAAATGAAAATTCATTTCTGAACTAGCTTTTAGTTTCTACTGCAATATCATAAGAAAAATCTTGCATGTATTCTATCAGCTACTACAGGAAGAAGACTTTTTACTATAAAGAAAAGAGAGATAGTAGAATTAATCACTTCTTGGTAGTAACTTTCCTTTTCAAATATACTGAGCATAAACTGCTTCGTATGAAGTCAGAGGAATTATACAGTGTTTAATTAAACATGTCCTTTCTTGAAATGATTCAGTTTTGGTGTTTGACAGGAGTTGTTATTCACCAGTTGTTTCACTGTCTGATCCAACTGAGTAAATGAAGTCCTTTTAAAATACTTCTTTGTATAGTTGGGTAGGTGTTTGACACTTCACTGAAGCTAATTCATTAGCATTGCAATATAACACTTTTATAGACATGTATTCCTTCTTTGTAATTCTTGATCTTTTGAAGTAAATAGGATTTTATTCTCATTATCACTTAAATAAATCAATCTTTCAACCAGAAATATTTATGAGAAGAATTAGAGAAGAAACTCAATGATAAGGTCAAGAATCAAATACTTAAGGCCCTAATTAATGTCTAACTGTTCATCAACCTTTCATAGACATTTGTGCAAGAACCTATCAGGAAGACCATAGGCCTTGCTTGCTTCAAGCTTAAAATAATAAACCAAGTTCTATTAAACCAATAATCAATATACAAAAATATGTCCACACAGAAGCCTAGAATTAAAGTTGTAAAAGACTTTTCAGATCAAGTCCAAGTGTCAGTCTAACAGCACCACCATTTTTTACTGCTAAACCGTGTCCTCAAATGCCATATCCATAAATTGTTTTAATAATTCCAGGAAAGATGGCTCTACCACTTCTCTGTATGGCCTCTTTCAACACTTGCCAACTCTTATCTGTGAAGGGTTATTGCTCCCTGTTGGCTAAAGCAAACTAAATGGAATGATACAATAATATGTCCCTATTTTTCTAATGCCCAGGACCTTGAACTGACAATTCAGGTTCATCTACTTTAATTACTACAAGGAGTTTCAGACTATTTAAGCCCTAGTTAATTTTCATAGAAATATAAAATTGTTTGGGTTGGAAGGAACCTTAAAGACAACCTAGTTCCAACCCCCCTCCCATGGCAGCAGGGACATCTTTGACTAGGCCACATAAATCAGAGCCCATCTGACCTGGCCTTGAACACTTCCAGGGGTGGATCCACAACTTCTCTAGGCAGCCTATTCATCAACCTCACAGCAAAAATTTCTCCCCATATTTAATCTAAGGCTACTTTCCTTCTGTTTGAAGCCATCCCCCCTCATCCTCTCACTAGATGTTCTTGGAAATAGTCTCATTCCATATTCCTTGAAGACTCCTGTCAGGTACTGTAAGGCCGCAATTATGTCACAACAAAGTCTTCTCTGCTCCAGGCTGGAGAAACTCAATCTGCTCAGCTTTTCCTCATAGGAGAGGTGCTCTATCCCTCTAATTATCTTGGTGGCCTCCTCTGGATTTGTTCCAACAGGTCCTTGTTCCTTCTGTGCTGGAGACCCAAGAGCTGGATGCAGCACTGCAGTTGGGGTCTCACCAGAGCAGAGTAGAGGTAAAGAATTACCTCCTGTCACCTGCTGGCCACACTGCTTTTGATGCAGCCCAGGATACAACTGGCTCTGCAAGAGCATATTGATGGCTCATGTCCAGCCTCTCATTCACCAGCCTCCCCAAGTCCTTCTTGACAGGGCTACTCTCAATATCACATTTTCTGGTAGCACTTAAGCCTTTAATTCGATTCAGAATGATACGATTATGCAAAGTAATAGCTGATTTCTGCTATTCTGCTATACACTAGGTGAAATAGCTGCACTTAAAAACTTGCAAATGTTGTCTCTCATAACTTTGTCAGAGAAAATATTGCCTCAATACTTCCAGTATTCCTTAGGGAAAATCTAAAGATAGGAAGCAGTATTCAATTATCTGAAATAGTTTTCAAAACTGATTGGAAGATTTTAAGATAGACTACTACATTCCCATGACTCAAATGACTGTTTTTAGCTAACATGTAATAACTTGTTATTTTTATCCATGTTATTTATTATTTACGCATTTAACTTGAGCAACTGTTTTATAATGAAAAAGTGGATTTAATCCATATTCAAATAGGATAAAAGTAAACTAAGTTTTGTTTGAATTTATTTGATATGAATAAATAAACCTGAACATAGTTGGTTAATTATAATTACAGTGCCTGGATATGCCTAGTATTCGGGATGTACTATAAAGTGTAATTTCTATTTGATGGCTAGTGCTGATATTTCATGATAAGAAGAGAGAGAAAAGTGCAATCAAATAATATGTAGAAGAAGTAAAATGTAATCTGAAATGATTAATTTAAATAGGAAGAATGAGACAAAATCAAGAAAAAAGAAACAAATTCCTTTTGACTTTAGAGTCTATAAAATACCACAGCTACAACTTTGTATAGCCTCATATGCACCCGTCACTTGTTCAATCAGGTAAAAAGAATGTTCAGCAGCAGAGGATGCCATTCAAGGACATTCAGGACCAAAGAAAATAGGATCTAATTTGTGACACCTTGAACAACGGATTTATTTTCTCAACTGAAATTTGGGTTAAGGTTCAGTTCAACTTGGGATTGTTACCTTTTTCCTTAGGATTAGTTGAAGCCTTAATTTCTTTTCGCTTTGAAGAATCTGAAAAAGAAATCAAACACAAAAATGAAAGAAGAAAATTAGCAACATAACAGTGTGCTCATTGGTACTGTAACAAATGTGCATAACACCAGATCAGCCAAATGCATAAAAAAGATGTGTTAAGAATTAGAATTTTCCTTTAATCCAATAAAAGGCACAAACTTCAATTGAAAGCAAACCAAAAATAATTCCCACTAAATTTACTGGCAAAGTTTCTGCAGGTCAAACCATACACTCATTCCTGTGCAGCCTATCATTTCAGCCTGTCATGTGCATTCAGCAGCAGCTCTGTTACTAATTCACTCACAACAGACTAGCACTCCCACTGCAATATTGGCTGTGCAGGTCAGACAGCAGTTAAAGAACACCACAATATAAGTAGTGTTATGACTTTATTATTTCTGAATCACGTCAGACACTGCTCCTTTCAATATATCAGATCTTTTGAATGAGAAGAATCTAGGTTTGGTCCCTTTTTGCCAACGGACTGTAATTCAAAATATATCAAAACTGCACTGAGATACCAGCAGAAGACTTGTTATTTGCCAGCCACATCATTATAAGATGTTACCTTTTTCCTTTAAGGCTGTTGGAGGTTTCACATCTTTTCTTTTTCCAGTCTCTAGAAAGAAACATTTAACATTTATCACAAGTCAGGTTAGGGAAATAAGATGGCACTTGAATAGAAAGCAAGTCAAACAATTTGATATGTGGAGAGCAAAAGAGATGTGATAATTAAATAGATTTAACAGCATGGAAATAAAGAACAGGACAAAAACACAAGGTCATCCATTCATCTTTCTAGTCTTGGATATGCAAAATAATAAGCCTTCAAAATGTCATTAGTTTCTCTGAATTTTACGGAAACTGTGGAGCCCTCTCTCAAGCAGGCAGTGAAGAATTACTTAAAAAGAAGAAAAAAATTCTACAGAGCAGTTGGCATCAATGATTTTTTCTTTTGCTGAGCCTAAATAAAAATTAATCCACATTGATACAATTGAAATATGAGGAATAGTGCTCTTGAAAGCCAGAGGCTGCTGATAAAGGTGAATGGGAGTTACAAAAGGACCAGCTACTCATTCAGGACTCCAATACTCTTTTAATATTGAAGAGGCCATATGGGTATTGCCTGTGAACAGAATTTCACTTGCTGTGCATATATGGCCTTTTAAAATGACAGGCACACTGGCTATAAAAGCAGAGCAGTGTTCATCCTTCAAATGTACATGAATATATTTTATGTCAAAATGAATAGTCCAGGGACTTAATTGTATCTTTATTTTTTTTTTTTCTTCAGTATATGACAAAATATTAAAGGAGAAGAGAAAAAAACCCCTGATATTATAGTTCTCCCTTTCTAGTAACTGACAAGGCAGACTCAAGGACAAAAAAAACCCAACCAAACAAACAAACAAATCCCCCCAAAAAACCCCCAAAAATTCAGGAGTTAGCTAAGCACAAATAAAGAAAAACTATGATCTTCTTTTGGTGCCCAGATGAGACAGAGGGACTGACAATGGTGGCATAGAGGAGAATTCTCAGCTACAAGGGACATCCTGGCTCCATTTCCTACAGTTTTTTACAAGGAATAATACATTCCTTGCAGAAGTGTGCCATTTTGTTCTATATCTATTCAGCAGCCGTAATCCGGACTGCATCCAATATCTCCAGCTTCCAAAAAAATGGGACTTTGTAACAATCTGTACGTCAGGTGTGCTGTTCCAGCCCAGGAACCAGGCACAGTACTGACAGCCTTTGCTGCTTTGTTTAAGTTTTTCAGCTGTTTTAGTATTCTCCAGAAAGAGAGTGTTCCATACACATCACACTGCAACAAATAGGCTTTGCTCCAAATAAATGCTATCGAGCAACCCATGACCCCTGTGTGAACAGTTAGCAGTGGTCTTACAACTGAAAGGATTAGACACAGAGATAAATGTGTCCATGTTGCCAACGAATTAAGAAAAAAAATTGTCATATCAGTCACCCTCAAACACCTGGATGTGTCAGTATCCTCAAGCAGTTTAATTCTCAGACACCCACATTCCTGAGCTGTAGCCACATGGACCAGATTTACTCTAGTTCCCTTCAGTAATGCTCCCACTATGTTATTTAGACAACACATTTTTTGACAGACTAACATCCATAAGTGGTATAAAACCAAATTTTAGTATTTCCCCCAAGACAAATTCAAATATTCACATTTAAAAGAAGCCCAGATGATTTCTAGGATCCTACTGGGATCTGTAGAGCACAAATATTACTAAAAACAATATAATGGCTAAAATAATCTAAATAAGAACCAGGATGGGTTTGGTTTTCCACACTTCTATATACCTACTCAAAAGCTCTTTCTAGACTGGATAACTGTTCTGATATTCAGGTCTGGATTTCTTCACTTACCTTTTTCTCTTAAGCTCTCCGGATTCTTGGGATTTTTTCCTTTCAGGGAATCTGTAGGAAGATAATTATGTTTCTGAGACTTAGAAGACAGAATACCCTTCTACATTTAAAAGAAAACTCTAGAAATATTTAAAAACCAAGACCAAAATTGTGAACATAAAGAGATACAAACTTGACCTCTCTTTATATCCTCTTTAGACACTGTGTCATATTTTTAAGGAGCAATAACATTAGTAGCAAAAGCAATAATAGAAATTTCTTTTGGTGACTGTCTGTAGAGACCACACAGAAGAGAGAAATTCCAAAGATGAGGAAAATGCAAGCAGTGACACAGGATTAGGAATTCTTTGGGTGTTATCCAAAACTTCATAAAGACAGTTTCTGCTTTCTCTGTCTGAAGAATATATCTTTACCTCAGTCCTTTAGGGAATATGGATTCAGGGTCAGCAAGCACAGGAAAAACATACACTATGTTTTGTAAACAGCAATGTTTAAATAATTTTTTTCAAGCAATAGTCTATTGACATCCTAGGTATATTTATCAGGGAAATTAGGAGAAAATAGCTTTTTCCAAAGTGAAGAAATAATTTGGTAGGCTTTTGAATGTATGCAGTTGGAGTGAAAGAATATCACAGCCTGCAGAATGTTAAACAGAGCCAGCTGCATTCCATCTGACAGGATATAGCACCTAAGCATATAGGAAAAAAACCCATGCCATTTATTCCAAATGAAAGTAAACCAAATCTTCAGTAAAACAGAAAAAGCTAAAAGAAGATACTTTAGAAAATAATTTTAACTCTGAACATCCTCCTGGCTGCCATGGTACCAGGAAGTGATCCCACTTATCCATCTGGATTTAAGTGTGAGTTGTAACAGAAAAAAAATCACTTCCAGGGTGGCTGAAGCTGTTGGAGAAACCACACTGCACAGGGATAGGTTATAAAATTAGGAGCCTGATCTTCACAGCAGCAGGTGGACTCTTCTCTAGGAGATTGAGAGAAAACTTCCATTGTGAAGCCTGAAACCCTTTGAGGTAGCCTCTATGTTTACTGTATGAAAAAACTTGAGGCAGCAGTTCCCCGACTTGACCACTCTACTCTGGCACACTGGTGATCTCAGGGATCAGCAGCCACCCTTGCAGCCACAGCCACAAATCTTTGGCCTTGTGGGTTTTGTGCCATATGCCCATGCTGTTTTTTTGCCATTCATGTAGCAGATCTCCCTTAGATTTCCTATAATATGTAGCTCCTAAAGGAGATTCAGCACTTTTGAGTCTTACAACTTTTGGATGCAACTCTCAGCACAGGACACGTTACATGGTGCACCAAGTTCCCCATCCTCTGAAGCGAGGATACTGTGATCACCAGTTCTGATTTTCTTCCAGGGAGCAGGTTTTCATTTTCAGAAGTTTGAACACATACTCACTGAGGACTTTTCAAACTTCTGCTCTCAAATGACTACTTTATTACTGGTCCCAGAAGGGAAAAAACATAAAGCTGGCTTAAAGCCAGCTTTCACCATAATGCTTTCCTCACGCGTTCTACTCTGGGGGTGAAGCTGGGTCAGGTTAGAATGATGGTATAAAATGATGAAGCAGCAGCAGTGTGTGATATCCTCAGGATAAAGATATAGTTCACATGCAAATGACAATGACAGATAAATGGAAATAGACAGAAATGTGAGCTGCTACTGCTCACAATATAACTACATTTCTAAGGGAAAAAAAAGTATGTTACAAGTTAAGAAAAAAAATGCCGCAGGCAAGATATTATTTCATGTTACATTTGCTTTAAAGGAAGTGCAAGTATTGCATAGCAAGTGCAAATCAGCTCATTTGTTTCTTTAATGACAGCATACTATAACATATATGGCAAGAAAGAAATAGACACTACTGACTTATTTCCCCTATCACTCTGTCTATAAAAATAAATAGGTTTATTATCTACACATAGCTGACATAAGAAAATATTCAAAGACATCCCAAAATATGTCAAAAGCAAAGAAGAAGAAAAAAGAACATTTGTTTGGAAAATAAATCATGGAACTCAGGGTGAGAAGGAATTTATGTTATCTATACAGGATAGATGTTGTCAATAACTTGGCACAATGCCAAGTTATCTTTTAGAAAAATTCAATAAAGAGTTATATATGAAATATTATGAACTTTTAGTGCCACGGTTACACAGTGAATGAACTTCTACTCTGGTTAGCTGGGTAAGATACTTACCCAAAAACCATGTGGCAAATTATAACTTAGAGTTTCATTGGCCTCAAGTTATTTGAATACAGCCATGTCAACAGAAAATCAGTTTTTATATTTGTGAGTACAAATGGGCTTCTTTACTCTTCTTTACTGCAGGGAAGAGCTAAAAAGCTAGTTATACATTCAGACAGAGTCTTGAAATGTCCTGTATCGCTAAGAAGTGGAAAATGTATTATTCCAGTGTTCTCTTTAACTACTCTCAATAAAATTAGGCTCCAAGACTGAAGACATTTTATTCACCTCATAAAATAGATAAAGTAACTTTGCAGGGTTATGATCTATAGAGTATCCCAGCAACAACTCCAAATTCAGGGATTTATTTTTCCTCTTTCTTCTTTGAATAAAAACACTATGCTTCAGTTAATGAAAAATAGCCTGCTCTAGGATAAGGTTTTTGGTCTGGACATCATCCTTGCTCATTCATTAGTCCATCCTTCAAAGGGAATGAGGTGTGATGATAGCTCTTTTATCGCATAAGGTGCCAGACACACATTAATCACCATGAGCATTTAACACTTCACCTAGAAGTGTTCCTTTATTTAGTCTACATGAATAGTAACAAACTCCCAAGATACATAAATAGGAAGTATATGCAGTCTTAAAAGTCCTTACTTTCCTGTGTCCTTTGATATATTTGTATTTTACAGAAAGATCCACTTTAAGAAAAAAATTGCAAAACACCATGTCGCAAAGAGTAAAAAGAAGTCCCTGGTGACCTTGTCAATAACATTTAGAGAGGCCCACTCATGAGGCTTGAAGAGGTGATGGAGAGGGGAAGGAATGGCATGCAAATAGGCTTTGATTAATTTATGAACCACAGTTGGGGCAGATATGATGACTGAAATGGGAGACAAATAATGTGAAATATATGTTTATGCAGTAGATCCACAATTCATAATCCAATAAGAAAAGACACAACTAAGAAAGGCACCAAGGTTTCTAGAAGTTTCTCCCCACAGCTTTATAAGTTGTCCCTATAGTCTTTGATGCTGATATATTTTCAACTGAGCTCTACAGCTCACTAATCAGCATCTTTGTTGTTGGGCACAGGCACAGAATTTTGCCAGTTTGATGCCTGTTATGGGAAGCAGTGATGGCTGCATCAGTAAGAGCTCTCAGGATCTGAGGGACAGGCTCAGCTGATATCAGTGCTGCTGGGGGGGTAAGGAGCCTGTGATGTCTTTTCAGAAATATTCACCAGCAAGTTTGCAGCTGTATTGACATTTAAAAAAAATTCCTACCTGCTCTTTTCTGAAGGCTGGGCGGAGAAAGTCTAGCCTCCTTTGTCACGTTAGAAGGACCTGTAATTACTAATTACTAATAACTTAGTAATTGAAGTTATTGATAAGTTAAACATGAGCATGGGAGACAAAAATCAGTGCTGTTGCCACTCTCAACAAAGGACACACTATGGAAACTTTTTCAGTGCTGGCAAACCACTATCCATTTGTTCTAAAGAAACTCTTATCAAAGAGAAAAAAGTTTTGGATCTTCTCTCTTTCTTTCTCCTCTCCCTGCCTCCCTGTAATCCTTTGAATGGAGCAGCAGGCTGAATACACACGCTCCATGCAGGGATAGAGGGGGCAGAGTTGTCACTCAAGTGCTTCTTTTAATTTTCCAGCACAACACCATCAGGCAGACACAAATTATAGGCAGTCTTTGGAGAGTGCCACAGGACCCCATAGAGTTTGTATATACAGTTCTGGTCCAGATAACTAGGCTTGTGTAAATGGGGCATGTGTACATTAGTAGAACACACACAGAACAATATATGCACCATAGAATTTGCAGATTGCCATAATTTAATTTAAATTTTTGAACAAAGAAGTGAATGAACATAGCTTCTAGGATTTTAAAAATATGTCTAGCAATGAATTATTCCTCCTTTGCTGTATATGTTTTTGTCATCTTTCAATTCTGCTTGAATTGATCTCTTCATTCAGTTCTTTCTTTGAAATTGCATAGAATGACTGTAACTTGAAATAGTTACAGACTAAAGTCTATATATTGCAGACCATATCTATCTATATATAGCTATAGACTTATGATAGTTATAGACTATAACTTAGAATAAATATTAACTCAACTATATATATGGTAGATCTTTTTATACCGAAGATGTCAAATAAGACTTATCCATAAGTAACTTCTTCCAAATAAAGTTATTTCTAGAAAGGAGGTAAGAAATAAGTTGTGTAAAAAGCACCCAATAAAGCAAATGATTAAAGGAAATTTAACTGAGTTAACCATCTACTCTGATCAAATTGCCAAAACAAAAAAAAAAGAAAAAAAAAAGATAAAGAATACAAGAAAGATTCAGACCAACTCTCATGTTGTGGATGGTTGACTGGATGAAGTGGTGGGGTTTTAGCTATAACTCTTACAGAGTACAGAAAGCATGTTTCCTACTCATGTGCTCATAAACCTTATTTTCTTCCAATTTTGTTCACACATTTGTGAAATGATTCAGTTCAGAATTTCTTAACTGGCCCCTATTAAAGGCTTGTCATTGTTCAGACCTTCTTTGCAAGGTACTTAACTATTAAGAAGTTTATGATATTGATTTAATTAATTTTGAGAATTCTGAATTTTAATTGTCTTGATATATTCTATTTATATTCTCCCCCGCCTTTTTAATGTTGTAGATCCTGTAGAATATTTTAACTAATTAAATTATGATTGGTTAAGATTTATAATGAGAAAGACTGATAATGATTGTTAAAAAAATTAGCATCTTCATTCTACTTTGTGTGGTTTTAGCAAGTCATATATTTTATTATGTATTCTTACCTTTTTCTTTTAAAGATGTAGGATTCTTCCCTTCCTTTTCTTTAGCATGTTCTGTAAAAATAATTTATTAATCTTCAAGCTAGAGTGTTAAATGGTTGACATCTAATTCCACTAGCATAAGGATTGATTGAATAATTGGTGGTTTCTAACTGACATGAGATACCAACTAAATGTGTAGCACAAAATTAATTTTCATCAGTTTTAGCATTCTCACAAAGTGAAACCACAAATTTTCTTAAATTTGAAGAAAGAACAAAGATCACTCAAAACTTACTTCACTTTTCTGCTTGTAATAAATACTAAAAAGTGTTCCTAAATTCTGAGTTTAAGCATCTTAATTTTTATAACTAGTGTAACCAGTGCTCTCTTTGCACTTCTAATTCAGATAATGCCAATTAGGTTCCATTGCAAATTTACTGAAATAGTATAATGGTTATAAATTCCTAATTAAATCATACTTTACCTTTAACTTTTGTGGCAGCTGGAGATTTCAATTCTTTATCTTTTCCAGGATCTGTAAAAGAATTAGTCACAACAATAAAGTGACAGCAGAAACCACAACGGAGTGAAGCAATGAGATTTAACCAGAGGAGACAATGAAGCATATAGATCGCACAAGAGACTAAAACTATACATTGGAAGACATGGTTAAAAGTGGGTTATTGAAAGACTTGTACAAAATTCACCAGGTATCATTCAGACAGTTCGGTCCACAAAATGTGTTTTGTTGATTAACTATTGTAGATTTAATTATAAAATTTGCAAACTTCAGCTTAGTATGAGACAGTTTTTCAGTGCTCTTAACCAGAAAGGTCAAAACTGATGCTTTGCCAAATTTGACTCATTGGAGCTGACTGTGGCCTACTTCCCTCATCTGGGATTGACCATTCTTACTGAGCAAAGCCAAAGGTCTTCTTATTGGATCTATTCTTTTCTAAAGGGCAGATGCTGATCAAAGTGAGTGAGCAACACAGCAGTGACAAATAGGTGGGTGAAGAGTTGCTTTTATTCTGCCTACAGACAGGTAGAGAAGATGGCTAGGCCACACAAGCCTTCCTCAAGGAAGGATAGTCCCTTGAAAAAAGCTTAAGAAAAAATTTGTTTCAGATAGAAAAGAGAAAATACTTCCATTTCAGACAAAATGTGAGATTGTCATTCCGGATGATGACAGGTGAAAGGTCTCCAAAGCTTTCCACCACAAAATAAAAAAGGCAGACAAAAAGACTTCAGTTTCAGACAAAATGTGAGATCGTCATTCTGGACTGATGAAAGGTCTCCAAAGCTTTCCACCACAAAATAAAAAAGGCAGACAAGACTGTCCCAAAACAGTCAGTTCAAAAAGATTAGAGACTTTGATTTTGACTTCCTGCATTTTAAGTAATTTAACCAGCCAGCTGCTGGTTAAACTGTTTTATACATGTCATCTGAGAAATGCTAATAGGTGTTTAAAAAATACTAGGTTCTCCATCACATATGAAGCAAAAATTCCTTCTGTTGAAACAATCATCAGCAATTCAGTGCCAGTAGATATTAAACAAACTGTCTTGAAAAACTAAAAAATACTAGGTTTTCCATCACATGTGAAGCAAAAATTCCTTCTGGTGAAACAATCATCAGCAATTCAGTGCCAGTAGATATTAAACAAACTGTTAGAAGGCCCTCTTGGTTTCTACACATAGGATAAGAAGTCAAGACTGATGAGGAGGAGTTTGTGTTTAGGAGATGGAGGTTGTGTTTAGTAGATAAATATGAAAATTGTATAAGCTACAGTAGTTAGTTTTAGTGGTAATTGTTTACTGCCTTAATGATACATCGTTCACAAATTGTCTCTTTTATTATAAAAGCATAGGCTGTGCCCGATAGCAATTTATTGTGATATCAATAAATCTTCTTGTTCATGGTGCTGGGGAATCTGAATTGAAGGGATCCATAAATAATAACTTTTTATTTATGATAGAAATAGCTGTCAAGTGTAAAAATCTAATTTGCTGTTGACATTGAAAGACCTCTTCTGTTGGGACTGAAGTCAAGAGATAAATTTTTCATTATTTTTCTCCTTCTACATTGTGTTTTTAAAGAGGCAATACTAGATACTTCCATACAATGTAATTTTTAAAGGAGAAGACTTGGGAAAGAAATCTGTTGAACAAGGTCAAAAATGCAACTTTAGTGAAATAAAGCTGTCTCTTCTATTCCTCATTACACCTCAGATGTCTGCTTCAGAAACTACTCCTGCTCTCCTGCTTTGACCTTCATTTTTTGTGTTCACCAATTTATTATTCAGTCCCACATTTTCAAAATGAGAAAATACACAATTTACTGCAGATATCTGTAGGCATATTTGGTGGACATATTCAGACATATTCATAGTCCCAATAAAAAAATATTTCCAATTTTAAAATATTTAGTTAATCACAGAAGACTCTGTGAAGAGATATAAAACTCAGTGGGAAGACTGAAAAACATTTTCTTCTGTGATTGTGTGTAATGAAAAATTCCCACAAGGTTTCATGTTCAGTGCAATAGTGTCTGCAAACAAAAGTAGACAACTGAAGACAGCCAAAATAAGCAATTTAAAGCATGACATAATGCCTTTACTTTCAGAAGCCCACCAGTAAGAAATTAAAGCTGTTGTACCCTTCCATTATTAAGAGCACAGTTACCCAAACTCTTGTGGAAGATGTGACTTTAATAAGTAAAACTATAGCTTACTTCCTTGTTTCATCTTTGGTTTATCTGGAGAAAGAGAAGGGGAGGGAAACAAAAGTGAAAAGAGAAAAGAAAAAGGAAATGTTAGAGTACATGTTCACATGGGAAATTTTAAAAAACTTAATCAACTAATGAAAATGTATTTAAATGCATGTTGATCCTAATGCTTTAATATATCTTGAACCTCCACTGTTTCTTGACAGAATATGCGAATAAAGTTCATGGTTCCCACCTATTGCCTTTCATGCACGCGCAAAGAGCATGAAACCCCCTAGTTTGATATGATCTTTTTTAACTGATGGCAAGTCTCCTTTCTTAGTACTATTGGATACTACTAGGAAAAAAAAACCTTTTTATCATCTCTTTTAAATATTAATTCTCAGTAACAGGCATTAACTTCCTGGAAACCATCTGATATTTGCTCATGACATTTTTCAAATAGGTCAAAGAGTTAAAGTTAAGTGCCTTCTTGCTCGTCTTCTAACAATTAAAAATATTACCTGTAGTTTGGCTTTTCAACTAATAAAAGGCCATTGAACTGGGATGCTGCTACAATCTTTCAGCCCACTTCCAGATGCGGGGGGTTTGAGGTCAAAGTTGCAATAATCACTAAAACCTTTGTTTGAAACAATGAAGTTATGTCCTGATTGCTAAGCACATCCAGCATACAACACTCCAGATTTTTCTGCTAGTCTTCTTATACTGTTTTTTGTAGATTGCAAGTCCCACTTTTGACCAGGACTGAATCCCTCTACTTTCTGAAGTGTGTTCTCATGCAAATTCTTTGAATAATATAAGTACATGGTAATATTAAAAAAAGCATCCCGAAAGGGATTTTTTTGGCTTTTTTGTCTTTGGGTGATCAATGTGTTGGCAGCAGCTCCATACATATAGGGTGCAGAAATGAGAAGCAGAGGGAATTGCTGTGTAAAAGTGTTTGTGCTCACTTCTGCGCATCAGAGGAACTGAGCTGCTGCCAGCACTGGGAAGTAGATGCAGAAATAGTTGTGACAGACAGTACATGTTGCTCTTATTCCTTTGACTTGGCTGGCATGGGGAGACAGTGCTGCTGCTGCTGCTACTGCTGCTGTCATGGGAAACAGTTTGCCCCTCTTTCGAGTTCCTTAGGTATCACATCCTGTGGTTTAGAAAACCCTGCTCCATGCCAGCCATGTGAAACTATAGTTTGTACTGCTCAGTCTGCGCTCTTTATGGCACAGTTAAAATGTTTGGCAGATAAAATCCTAGCTAATGGTGGTACACTGTAGAGAGGATAAAATCTTACAGCAACCACACACCTCATTGCTCCATGAGACAGACAAAAGAGAGGAAGCAATGTGGATGTCTGGAGAAGCACTTGTGTGGTAATGGAAAATAATGTGAAGATACCCAGCCTAACAATGCCTGAAATCTAGGCCAAGGCCCACCTAATTATAACATTTTCCATGACAACTACCAAGCAGCTGACAGCTGCTGCAGGGTGTCTGTGCCGGCTTGAATAATTCTGAGTAAAGCTGAAGCTGAAAAACTGAAGAAAATGAAGCTACACAATGACCAAAGCTACACAAGTAAACATGTCTTACATCTTATACTACATTACTGGCAAGCTCATCATCAGGGCTTTAGCTGCCAATTTGAGCAGGAGTATAAAAATCACCTCAATCACATAAAGGAAGCCTGAGCTGATAAGCTTTGGGGATTTAGACACCCTTTTTATTACTTTGCTTCTTACCATACTAACCTAAAAAAGTATGGATTGCGTTTAAAAAGTGTACAAGAAGCAGGCATGAAGATAAAATGTTGAAGGCAATAATAATAATAACAATAATAAATAATATAAATGCATATAATAGGAAAAGACATCTTTAGATGGTTTAAGGCATCAATCCTTCTCTTTTTGCATTCACTCAGTGGCTTGAGTTTTCTTTTGTCCTTGGTGTAGACCATTCCTTGGTATTCCTGCTGTCATTGGCTTGGGACAATGGATATAGACTTTGTGTCCCTCTAAACTATGTGCCATCCACACCTGGTTCTTGCAGCTTTTCTTTCAGTGTTCCCACTCAGACATTCCCACTCATGCCTTATCCATACCAACCCTAAGATTTTTGCAAAAAATTTCTACAAGGTCTGATCTCAAAAGTTTTTGAGATTTTCTGCAGTGGACATTTGTGACTCTTCAGGGGGCTGATGTTTCATCTGGGACAAGAAGGGTAGCTCAGCTGATTTCAGAGAGCCTCTGCCCTTTTACTTCATTGCAAGTTACTCTGTCAGACTGAGTAGCAAAGGCTGATCCCTGTCCAGGCTACAGGGGCAGGAAGCCTCTTGCAAGATCAGTGGGACACTAAGTCCCAGCAGAGAACCTTTCATCTGAAGTGGGCAGCCATCTACTTGAAGCTTTTTGTTGGGGTGGTAGTTTTGTGGGACAAAGCCAGTTTTATAATGGAAATTCCCTGTTGCTATGACAAAAGCTGCAGAACTCTGAAAAAAATACTGGTGAACCAATGGATTTAAAGGTTGCTGTCATCCAGCTCTCTGAATCTGAGATTATTGTTTCTGTGTCATTGTGTTTTAAGAGAGATAACGCCGACATGTTTTGTGTTCTTTTTACCTTGCACTGCTGCCTTTGTTGCTTTTGCTTCTTTTTTTTCAAGTCCGGCTGCAAATAAAAGATATGGTTTAAGGAAGATTTCTAGTCAGAGCTGTTGCTACATCAGACAAAGTTGTTCTTAAATGCTTACACATTATCTTGAGTCAAAAGATTTCAAATATTTCCAATCATGAGATTCCCCCCAATATATGAATACATAATATATATTTCTTATCTGTCTGAAAGAAGAGTGATTTCTTTTTTTTATTTTCTTTCAGAGAACAAAAAGTGGGCCTGATCAAGCAGAAGGTGTGGCTGCCTAGTGCAGGGGGCTTGGAACTAGATGGTCTTTAAGGCTCCTTCCAACCCAAACCATTACATGATTCTGTCATGTCAGGTGAAACAGGGGCTAAACTGCAGAACATATTTTGTAACAGAGAAGAGAGCAAAGCAAGCAGATCTTTACCTAGCCCAGCCATTCGAGAGTTCCCCAAGCAAGCACAGTTTTCTGTTTGCATCAGCAGAAAACTGCACTCTGCACCCCTGACACAGCAAATCATTTCCCCATATTCTCAGCTTTAAGCACGTGGTTAGGCTCAGTGAAGGTGGCAGGCCACAGATGAACTGTATGTTATGGCATCTAACTTGATCCTTCTGAATACTGAGATTTCTGTGGGCAAGCAAGAAGTGTGAACCAGATCACTTGTGAGGCAGGGCTGCTTAACCTTTACTGACACCAGGGGAAGCAGCCCAGGTCAGGATGCATGGACTCATCCAATTGCTTATTCACAAGCTTGGCAAGCACGATTTGTAAATTCATTTACACATCTTGGGAGACAAAGGATATTAAGGATGAAACTATCTAAGAGGTAATGCAAGAAGGGGTACCGTTAGACCTTGCTTACATAAATATGGGAATCTTTTATAGTTTCTGACAATTTACACTGCAGGTTTGGTGACGTACAAGATTGTATCTTTAGGACAACATATATATTTCTTATTTCATTGAATTATTTGGGGTTAAATACTGTAAATCTAGAAATATACATGTTTAGCTGTAAATTGCACTTACAACATTTCACTTCTGTGAAACCAAGCTTTTGTAGCCATAATTTATAACTATTATGCTAAATGAAATTCTTGTTTAATTTAAAAGTCTTACAGTGTTTGAGACAAAAAATGTGGCATTATGAAAATAAGCTTCATTGTCATTGTTTGAAAATAGCATAAAGAACAAACAATCAGCCTAAGTGGCAAGATGTAAAATGGACACTGAAAATTAATTTACATCTAATGGATGTAAAATAATGTAATTAATTTACGTCTGATGGATGTACATCTGGTAGAGAATGTCTGCAGCTTCAGGGTCATTAGCACATATAACAACCTCTCAGCTTGTTATTTCACCCTGTCATTTTATTAGAACAAATCACAGTTGAAAATTAAGAGTTTAGCTTTTAGAGATAAATTCTGAAGGTCATGTTCTGTTATCATTATTTATACTGAGAAAGTCAGGGAATTCAAAGAACCTATGAAGTACCTTCATGTGTGCTCACTGCCTCCATGCTGCCTGGACTGCAAGTCTGGCCCCAGGGGCTCCACCAGGACATCCTTTCAAGAGCATTCTGGAACTGGTGGGCATGATTGCTCATACAGATCAGCTCACTTAATAAGCTATGGCCTGTCTGCAATGTCTGCTGTGGGCTGGGGGTCAAAGGAATGATCTGTTCCCAGATTCTCTGAACCTGAGATTCAGTGAAAAGTCAGGTATCGATAGATGAACTGTTTCCTGTTGAGTGGGATGAACCCAGTCACAGGCATCAATTACTCCCTTGTGATGTGAGCAGGTGTTTGCGAGCAAGCTCCATGTAAACAGTACAATATTGCACTTCTGCACCTCAGTTACCTCAGGGAACTCATTTTATTGAAGATAATCTTCAATTTTCCTGAAAATAAAATCTAGGTTTAAAATATGTCTGACTCAAAGAAAAAAAAAAAAAGGAGTATTCCATTTCTGTCCAACTACCTAATTTTTTATTGCTGTTCATGGACACAGAGAAAGCCAAACAGAACCAAGCACCTTTAATATTTATTGTAGACCTCTGATATTACCATCCATATTACCTGGGCCTAAATCAGCAGTACTACTTATACTAACCATGAACTAGACTGACAAGCCAAGATGAGTCTGAGCACTGAGCCCTGCCACTGAGCAAATCAATATCATGGAGCTTCTAAAATGCTTACTGAAGCGGTCAATATCTTGAAGAATAAGCCTATTTGAATATGGAAAGAAATATATGAAAAGAGGCACCAGAAACCTGCCCCACACTCATTTCAAAATATATTTTTAGCATTACAACTGCAAAAGCAGCTATGACAAGAGCTAAATGAGCTATTGAGAATGATTGTTTTCTTCAAAGCATTTTTATCCTCTTTAGCTGAAATGAAAGCAGTTTTGGTTTGTAAATTTACTGTAAAAATTTTCACCTGCCCACATCACATAAATACTTCTATTCCATTAAAATGGAATAAAATATTTTTTTTCTGGATACTGAGCTGCTGGCTAGAAGAGCAATACAGCTTTCTGAAAAAAATCAGGTGTTTAGTCATCAAATGTATGTAATGGTGGTAGACCGGGAGTGTGGTTATCATGAAGGAACCATCCATCCTCGAGAAACATCGAGGCTGCTATAACAACCAGTTATAGATATATTGACAGTATTCTGGCTAGCCTTGCATTCAGTAATGCAACACACTTCCATGAGTGAGTGAGTTCTTGTAAGGAAGAACTTGCTGAGACAGAACAGAGCTCCAGAAATTTTCGGAACTGCCAAGTAACATCATCTAGACATGGCAGAGCAGTATCTGGGAGGACAAACAGGACATTCCGTTGTTCCATTTGCTTTTTCAGAAGAGAGGTATGAGCTACTTTGGTGAATCTGAGAGGTCTTTTGTCATCAAGGTAACAGCTGTCACTTTGAAAGTCTCCATATACAGAAAGCCCATCCATGTAGAGTCGGTGTTTGGAATAAGATTCAGAATGTCTGGTTGTCTCTATCAGAACAGAGACAAGTTTTCTGAGTAGGTCAAGAAGTAGGTCATCCCTTCCACTGGGCATTTTCAAAGTTCTTGCCACTTATGAATGGTAGCCTGAAAGTTGATCTCTTTGTAAAAAATGATCCCGTTCCAAGTATTCCCTATTTGAAAAGCTGATATTTTAGCCATATGACTTAGGGAATATGAATGTTGTAACGTATTATAATTTTCTTCTCTGTAGAATGGCAGGCATTAAAAAAAAAAAAAAAAAGACAAAATACAACTTCCCATCCCAAACTAAACCCACAAAAACTCCTGCATGAAGCAATATGAAATAAAATGAAGGTAAAATCAGGAATTCATCAGGGAACCATATTTTCAGTGAAATATAGTTTAAAAAATAGATTAAATAAATGGAGAAATACTCCCACATATATTTTATCATTTCTCAGCAAAATTCTTGACAACTTGGCATAATGCAGATCAAATTGGCAATTTACTTTATAATTGTTTCTCTGATTCTATCACAAGCTCTTAGGAAACAAATGAGAGACAATTCAGCAGCTATTGTTTTATGCTGAAAGTGGCCACAAGAGCAATTCATCAAATATTTGTGCAGTCTCAATAGTTGTAGGCTAAAATCAAATTTGTCACAATATTTTTATCCCAAAAGAGACAGGTTGCATAACTACCATCCACATCAAAAATATGCATTTAAAATGTCACTGATTTTAAAGCTATTTTGAGATATTTGCTCAGTGTGATGGAAGACAGAAAGAAATCATTCCCACCGGAAACAAAAAACATTTCACTCACTGAACCCTGAGGTCAGAGGCTCCTCATTGTGACATTACAAAAAAACAAGAAATCATTAACTTAAGAAGTGTATGTTATGGTTAGGAACTCTTCTGTTATATGGAGAAATAAATTCATGCTGTAGTGGCTTGTGAGAAAATGCAAGAAAGCTCCATGTGAGTTTGATAGTTCATAGGAAGTACAGGGTGGGGGGAATGGCCCAGACCTCCTTCTATGCCAGCAGATTAATTTTGTTTAATTACCAAAGCAGCGAGTTTCATCAAGAGCCTTGCTTTTGTTCAGAACAGAATTGTTTGCCTTCCATGAATGTGCTTTAAAAAAATTTACATTTACCAACACCTACTGAACATTGAAAATCACATTGTGTCCAGAGATCTGCTAAGTCTCTAAGGACTAAAAGGAGAAAAATGAGAAACAAATAAATAGCAACAATGTAGAACAACAAATATGGATTTGATAGCTATGACTTTCTTCAGACTTAAAGAAAGGTTAAACACTAATAAAGGACTACTATTAAACACTACTAGAATTTGTCTGCATCAGAATACAGAAGAAAATAACAGCATTCCTTTGTGATTCTTGCTAAGTAGCAAAAGGAACAGCTGTAACATTTTCATATAAATATGATTTTCCCCCTGGAGTACAGGCTATGTTTGAGTTTCAAAATTAGCAACATAAAGTTAAATTTAGATGACTTGCTAACAAGAAATTTTTAAGAAATCAACAATTTCCACAGAGCTAAAATCAGCTCATTTTTATTTAATGAAGAATCAAACAAAGTTGTCATTACTTAGACACGGGGGAACAATTCCAGGTTCAATATTAGGTTGATCCTATGGTAAAACTAAGTGTTGGCTGAGGCCAACACTTTCAGTTGTGAGACTGATCTTTTGACAACAAAAATAATGAATTATTCCTATATTATATAACGGAAGGCCACTGTTTCTACTTATCCTTAATTAAGTGAACTTCCTAAAACTTTTTTTTCCCCCTCATTTGTCTGAAAAGGAATGCTTATAAAAGTATGGTGGTCATTCACATGAATATACATGGACTAAGAGCAAAGGGCAGTTTGCAACCTGACATTCCACTTTCTAAGTTACATCTGAAATCTGTAGCGTTCTTGAGGGCAATTTGGAGCTAGTAATTTACACTGCACATACTTAAAAACCAGACACTGGTAGGAAACAATTAAATATTTGCTCAGCTTGAATTTACATCCCTGATGTTTCTTATCATTCCCAGTTCCCTGCGCCTTGTGGAAAGAAGGAATCTTTGGAGCAAGCATTGATACTGTCACACCTCCTGCCATTGACAGTTCATGTATGAAAGGTAGACAAAGCCTGGTAAACCAAGCCTCCCTGCAAAACTCCTTAAAGAAAACAGCTGTTCAGTCACTGGGTTTGTCCTGCAGTTAGAGCAGCAAAAAGAGAAATATTTCTTTGTGTCATGTCTCTGTAGAAGATTGGTCACTCCTCCTTTCTGCCTGTCACAAAAGCCTTATGGCTTGAGTTAGGGTTAGAAACTGAATTTCAGATTGTTGGAGAATTACAGTTAGTCCTTGAAAAATTTGAGGAAAAGATGCCTGCTTTGAGATGCTGCAAGGAAGACACCATTACAATTTAAAAGGCTGTTTGTTTCAAATAAATCATAGTTACAATTTTTTTTTCACAAGCAGCTTTTTTTCATTACAGTAAAGTTGACAGCAGCATTCTTCAATTTCAGTTTTCAAAACCACGTAAATTACTCACCTTTTGACGTTGGAGTTTCCACAGCTGCTGTAAAATAAAACATTCACAGAAACAAATTAGATAAATGAATAAAGGAATTAAAATTGATCCTAACACCTCTTTCCTTTATCAATATGCTACAAATCTATGCAGAGCAGGAGCTCATTTTTTTATGCAGACACACACATGTGTTCCTTGTTTAGATAGTCTCATGGCAGATGACTAATTAACCTGCAGATGAAAAGCAGTGGAAAACAAGGCCAATAGATAAGTTCTATATAGACCTTCAATAGCTCTGCTAATTTCAAGTGTGAGGATGAGACAAGGAGTAAAATAGCCTCCAGAGTGAGCATATATTAAACATAGGTGGAAGATATGCAATAGAAATGTTTTTTTTTTTTAACAATTTCAGTGATTTGCAGAAGCTAGGGATTTTTTCACCTTTTTTTTGTTTTTTTGTTTTGAGTTTATTGAAACTTCTAGAATTGATACAGAGGAGGATCCAGTTTCAAAAATCTTCCTTTATATGAGTTTTCTCAGTTTCATTTCTTTACTATTCTTCACAACTGCATTAACTAAAAGCAAATTAATTGAGCTACAGCATTTCTCTTGTTTTTTTCATTATTCACACCTTCATTCTGAAGCACTGTGACAGGTTTTTATGTTATAGAAAAGGACAGATTCATTTTTCTACAAATTGACTTTTTACTGTAGGTATTTCTTGCTCCAAATTTGTATCTGAGAAAATAGAGTCATCTGATGAATGAGTCATCAAGCTTGGCTGTAAAAGGAGAAAATCTTTATGCTCCCCTAAATTTGTATAAACTGGAGAAGTGGTTTCCACTTGGGAACAAGAGCACCTTGCTGCAACAATAAAATGCATGGGTGCCTGGCATAAAAGAAAATTAAACAGCCTACTTTTTTTTCCTATCCTCCTCATTCTGAATCTTGTATTTTGTGTTTGTTTCTCCATCCATTTATTGTAACTTTCTTTGAAAAGAGAAACCTTTTAAAAGATGAAATAAAGAATTTTTCCCCCTCTTGTTCTTCTTGACATTTAATTAGATCTCAGTTACAGAAGACTGAATGGTTGCCCCACATCCATTCAATTGCTTAAGTAACTTTAATTAAACCAGTAAAATTATATTCATGGCTTTATTTTTTTTATCCCTCTATGTAATCCTGTCTCAACTGAAAATCAAACCAGATAAATGAGACTCTAAAACTTACAGTCTTTTACAGGACTTACCATGTACTTTTGCTTCTTTCTTTGTTGTTTTGCCTGTAAAAACAAATTTTGAAAAGTATCAAATATTAACTTCTGACAAGAATGAATTTAAAATATTGGGATTGTTTAAAAGTAAAATAAAAATGAGAGAATATTCACCAGATTCACTAATTTTTTCTTTGTTATGTGGTTCTGGAAAAGAAAAAAAAAATAAAGTGTATATTTCTCTTCTTGTAATGCTTTGTTTGATTGCCTTGGACAATAATTTTTCATGTTACTATTGGCCATTGGATGTGACATATTCCTATAGATTCTAAGTTCAGTGAGTCCTTCCCCACGTTCCAGTATGTCAAAATAAAGCCTTTATGTTTGTAATCAATCTCTCCAGTGGTTTTCACACTGGATAAACAGGGTCAGATTAGTCGTTAATAAGGGAGAGCAAAGGACTCGTCCTTTATAATAAGATGCTAAAAGGAAACCATAAAAATGGTGTAGGTAAAAACATCTGCAGTTTTGCTGCAGGGTGGTTTAAATGGAGGTCTGCAACCCAACTATATGTGCTTGAGGATAACTACTTTTTAATGGTAGTTTCTGTAATAGTTCTTTCCATGCTGCAAGAATTTGTTTTAACGCCCCCTCGCAGAAGGAGCAGGGCAGCCTGCCACAGATAGAGACTGAACAACATCTACCAGCCAATGCTGACATTCACAGTAGCAAAAAAAAAAAATAAAAAAAATAGTTAAGCTTTTTCTGTCTGCAGATGCTTTTAAACAGCACATGGAAAGGCTGTGCTGTGCAAGTTTGGATCCACAAAGGAACATTTCCTGAATTCAATTCAAACATTTCCTAAATTCAAGAATATCTGAGCTCACAGATCACAAGATAGATCACAGAATCATCAAATCATAGACTATCCTGAGCTGGAAGGGATATTATTGAGTTCTAACTCAGGATATTCTATGATTCTATGATTCACAAGGAGCATTGGGTCCAGCTCCTGGCTCTCCACAGAATAAACCCAAGAGTCACACCATGTGCCTGAGAGCATTGTCCACGTGCTACTTGAACTCCGCCAGGCTTGGTGCTGTAGCCACTTCTCTGGGGAGCCTGTTCCAGTGCCCAAACACCCTCTGGGTGAAAAGCCTTTCCCTGATATGCAACCTAAACCTCACCTGATCCAGCTTCAGCCCGTTCCCTCAGGTCCTGTCACTGGCCAGCACAAAGAAGAGATCAGTGTCTGCTACTCTGTTTCCCCTCATGAGGAAATTGCAGATTGCAATGAGGTCTACCCCCAGTCTCCTGTTCTTGAGGCTGCGCAAACCAGGTAATTTCATCCACTCCTCATATGACTTCTTCACTAGACACTTAAGTATCTTCCTCTAATGTATGCTCCCTAATAAATTTATATCCTTATGTTGTGGTGCTCAAAACTGCACACAGGACTCAAGGTGAGTACTTTTAAATACAAGCTCATAGTTTACCAGTATCTGATGACTGCATCCCCAGGCTTATAACAGGTTATATTTGTATTAAAGCTGTAATACAGAGTTGAGAGCGTTAATGTTTAAACAGTTTCCACTCTAGAATCTAGATATAAAATTCAGTGTTCAAAGTGATTCTGAATGTTGTACCCTCACTAAAAGCAACCTTTTTCACAGAAATGACCTATCACTCAATTGAATCAGAAAAAGGAAAAAAGAACTGCCAACATAAAATTAAATATACTTATAAAAACATTGATATTAATAATATTTCCATTAAATATTAATTTGTAATCAATCAGCTAATACTGACTGCACAGTGGGCAAATAAGAGACATATTTCATGCAGAGCTATGAAAATAATTAATATTTGAAAGGACGGATTGATCTTAAATGTGAAAGACCCCACAATTGTTAAGTTTTAAAAAAAGTATGTAATTACTCCATATTCCCGCCCCCAAAAAAGCTTATATCAAACAGCGTTTCAAAGGAAAAAGATTAATTGACTGAAATAATGAACATAGTCTTAATATAGTTATGTAAAGAACACTTTAGTGTATTGATTGCATAACAAATGTTAAAAATATTGTAGGCTCTTTAAAGACACATTTTATAGGAGAAATGAAATTTCTAGTGGAAATTATGATGGAACAGGTTTGCGTCACCAAAAAAAAGTCATGGCTGTGATTTTCCCTGCATTATGAAAAAGTGATGGAAATAGAGAGCAAGCTGGTATTTATTGCCTGAATAAATGTACTTTCTTAATGGCATCTCTACCTTGGGTTTCAATTCTAATACAGGTCAAGGAGGAAAATTCTAGCTAAAACTGAGAGATCAAAAGTTTGGGACTCAGTGGTTTGGCGGCCTCAATGCTCTTAATCATGACAACATCTGCAGCTTTGGTTTTGTGTAGCCTGAGTGCTCTTCAGACTCTCCACTTTCTTGAGATATTTTAGGACTCCTTTTGGAAAATATAATTTTCATTGGTATTTTGGGGGTTTCTCTTTGACTGTTGATCAGGACAGCTTCATGGAAACGAAAGGAAATGTAATTCAGTCTTTAGTGGTTCTGAGGCAATTACTTTTGTCTCTCATTCTAAGATCTCTCAGCTCTCAGGAGATCAGGGAACAGAATGATCCTAGCAACACTCAAGCCAGTGTTTTGGCAAAGTAAAAAATAATCCACTTATTTAGCTTTATTTCACAGTTTTCTTTTTCCCAAACTGCAAACATTAGAGAAGGTCTATAGAGCTTCTTTCATAATAGTTTTATTTCCAGAAGCATATGAAATAAAATCCTTTTCCATGAGAAAATTTATAAAAATAAATAACATAGAATTTGACATCAAGCATTTCTGGGAAATCTGACATGATATGAGATTTCAGGTGATTCATGTCCTGATAGTTGAATGGAATGAACTGGAAACTTTTATTGCATGAGCCATAAACTGCAGGAAATTTCAGACCTAGCTCTTTCCTGATTGCAAAAAGTTATCATTCCTTGATTTCAATGTCTTATCCTTTACTGTTTTTGTACTTTCAAGTAGTTAGTATGAAACATGAAAGGATGTTTCCAGCTGTAAACACATCAGATATTTGCCATGGCATTTGTCATATTTGTGGAAGGGGTTAATAGTGGGCTTGTTAGTTAAAGGAGCGAGAAGAAGTTGAGAAGAAAGAAGAAATTGATAAGGAGGTTTTTTTAAAGGTTGTAACTAAAGAGATTAAGAGAATTGAGGAATTGAAGAAAGATAAGAAGAGAATTTTACATCTGCACAAAGTATTTTTAGAAAGTTAGTTAAGTCACTGTAACTTTTCACCAATAGGTTTATGTTAATTTATTGTGTCCAATAGTTAAGGTAGAAGAAGCATAAACAATTAGAAAGTGTATAAAAGATCAGCTGTATTCAATAATAAAAATTTGCCATCTGAGACTGCTAGTAGTCTTTCTTTCGTGTCGTGACTGCTTCAACAGTGACAATTATTTTTCTGTTTAATAATTTTTTTGCATGTATATAAGACTGTACAGCATATTTTATTCAGGGAAGTTTTTCTGGTAGTACAGTATTTTTCTAGCATGCATGGAATTGAGATTTGATTTAGTTTGACATTTTATCATCTTTATTTGCTCTGATGCTTTAAACAAATGGCTTTTATTTTTTTATAAAGACTGGCAAAGTCATGTATAAGATGCTCATAAAACCATACAAATGTGTCTTTTGCTTCATTAGTAGTGACATACTCCTAGGCAATTCAGAGTAGGTGGGAGAGAGAAGAAAACCTGAACCTGCCTCTGTAGCTCTTTCCTAAGCCACATTATTCCCTAAAGCAAAAACAGTGCTGAAAAGCATCTAGGCTGGCAAATTTGCTGAGGTGTATTTTAATCTTTACTACCAGAATAGACAGTCACAAAGTGTGACCCTCTGCTATCTGACAGGAAAGAACAGTTGATTTCCTGTCATAATTTATATAGGCATGCTCACACATGTATGAGCATTTGTGTGCACCTGGTGTTTCCTAATTCAGATAAAGTAATCATGTCCAAGAATGGTTCAGGAAAATAAAAATTCTATTGGGAATGACACAGATTGGAAAATGGCATTTCAAGTGGATATGCTGTTGTGTGGGATGCACCACATGTTAATTAACCAACACCATTTTGTTTGCACTCAGTAGCTGAATAAAAATGGTGCTTTCTGTAGTGTTGTTTATCTTTTACCACAAATATTTCAGTGAAGCCTACTGTTGTCACATTCTATGCAGTGTCTTAGATACTTAAATCCTTAGTAGAAAGTTAGCTTGGTCTTATAGTTTTGTAATCTTGGTTTTATAAGCTATGCACAAAACTTCTTGGAACTTCATACTATGTTGGTTAATTAAAACCAAATGAGATAGAGTGATAAAGCTTTCCAGGTTATCCTATCATTAAGAATATTGTGAACATAAGCATTTAGATAAAGATGAGATCCCTTTAGTCCCTTCTGCTGAAGGAAAATGTTTCAATATGTGTCCAATCATGTTTCTAGACCTGAGATAATCCACATGAGAAAGTCTTGCATCAAACTAGTTTTTTCCTGTTCTCCTGCTCTCAAGGAGTATGTGTTCTATATTTCACTGCTATTCTTATTTTCTAGATCATTGTGGAAAATCTCACCACTGTATTATGCTTTGATTTACAAAGATCATGAACTGTACAAATACATTTCTTTCTGGATAAGAACACACCAAGGAAACCTCTTACATCGTGAAATCATGCCACACGTATACTCACTCCTCTATATAAGATTATCTTTTGAGGAGGGCAACAGTTTTCCTGATGGATTTTTGTGAAGAAAAGGAAATCAGGTGGAAGTTTTCTGTATCAGTATCTTTGTCAGAAATCTGCTACCTCTTTGGGAAATATCTGATAAAAATTTTGTTCAAAGAAAAGAGAGAAAAGCCTGGATGAAATGCAACTGCGTTTAGTTCCATCTATTTGGTCTGAGGCTTTTCTTCACAGGCAGAAAGCAATGGCATCAAAACTGTTCATGATAAATTGTAGATGTAACATAAGCATATATATTATAGAAAATCTA